TTGACCCCACTTTGCCTAAAGCCCCCACTGAAAGGAGGATCAGTGAGGGGCTGGTGCTAAGTGTACTGGGTGCAGCTCTGACTGCCACCCCCCAACCCAGAAATGTATTAACCCACTAAACATCCGGCGTCCACTCAACCTCCAGATCACGTCAATATCGCGTCGGTCGGTCGTGACCTTTTATTCACGTCCAAACTACGTCTGTGTAAGGTGCGCATCTGGACGTAAAACAATGACCTCCCATAGACGTGGATATGACGTCCAATCCCGACCTCCCCTAGACGTGGAAAACAGGTCATCGGCCGATCGACGCATTACGTCTTGATCTAGCAATACAATCTATCGGCTGTGAAGCAATTGGTGGGTGCCTGACGGTAGTGTACTGGTGAAGCAAATGTGTGCGGTTGTAGTAACGTTAGTTTGAGTCCACGTGTGTGCATCTTATATTTTTATACTTTATATATTTGTTTTGATTTTTTGCGAACAACTTTTCTAATAGACACTCAATAAACTAATAAACACTCAACATAGGATTATGTAGTGACTAATAAACTTGTGAACTTATGCATTTGTTGTGCTAACAATCTCAAGTTTGCAAATAAGGGGTGAGCACTTGTATGCAAATGCATAAGTTTTATCATTAGCCACTACATAATCCTATGTTGAGTGTTTATTAGTTTTTAACCAAACAAAGAAAAATTGTTCGCTAAAAATCAAAACAAACATATAACGTTGATGAAGCTTGGTCTCGTACCCACGTTGCCACAGCCGCATTCGTTTACTTAACCATTACACTATTGTCAGACAGTGACGCTGCAACTTTGTAGTAAACTTAGTCCCAACCCGGTAAAGAGCCGATGCTCACTATTGCTAGATCACGTCCTAACAAGTCGATGACCTGTTTTCCACGTCTTTGAAAGGTGCGCATTTGGACGAAAAACAATGCCCTCCCAGACGTTGAAATCACGTTAAATTTGTACCTCCCTATCTGCCCTGCTCACCCAATTATTTTTTTACCAAACCGAAAAAAATTGTTCGCTATAAAGCGTAAAGTTAGACACACTCCGACGTGGGCTTGAACCCGTGTCGCCACGACTGCAATGTCATTACGTAACCACTACACCACCATCAGACATTCTTCTTCAGCCATCGTAAATAGAGTCTATACAACCCCCTAAACAACCGACGCACACTTACGCGAGATTACAGCCTGACACGTGAGTCGGTCGAGGACCTGTTTTCCACGTCTAAACGACGTCTGTGTGTGCATCTGGACGTAAAGCAATGCCCTCCCAGAAGACGTTGATATGACGTTTGATCTGTACCTCTGTCGCTGCCCTGCTTTATTTACTTTCTCAAATGGAGACTTGAGATAGTTAGCATCACTAACATACATAAATTCACACGTTTTATTCTTAGAAGCTACATGATCCTATGTTGATTGTTGATTTGTTTTGAACCAAATAGAGAAAAAATGTTTGTTTAAAAAGCAACTAACAACTTCCAGGGTTTTGAACTCCCATTGCTACATCTAGAGGTCCGTCACATATCCCCTACACCACTCTCGATATCAATAACTTGACTTGAATGAAAGTCCAGATAACGTCCAGATGACGTTGAAATGACGTTGTTTTGACATCCGCTTGCTTAGTGAAAACGGCTGAAAACGAAAGCCATATAAACGTCAACATTTTGGTCATATAAGACGTTGATAGGACGTCGGACCCGAACGGTTCTGTACCACATTCAAACCTTGAATTGATGTGCCATCATGGAGGTCGAGGTGACGTCGGGAAAAGACGTCCGGATGACGTCGGGAAAACACGTCCGGATGACGTCGGGAAACGACGTCGAGAAAACTTTCATTCTGCACCCACCAGTGACCTATATTCTACGGCGGGCAACGACGTTGAAATGACGTTGTTTCAACGTCGGCTTGCTTAGTGGGAAGGGGAAGAAAATGGATGGATGGATGGATGGATGGATGGTAATACAAGTCCCCTTTTTCAGTGGAACAGCCTAAGCCATAAAAACCACAATAACCTGGCTGCATATCTGGTCCGCAGGTCCACTTGTTCAGGGGATCAGATTCCAAGCTACAATTAAAATGGTTTATCTGTCATTAGAGGATAAAAACACGTGTGCAATAGTGGCAAGACAAGGCAAGCTTATTTGTATAGCACAATTCATAGTGAGTCATATGGTACATAGTATATGATACAATACTACATACATCTAACGTACATGCATCATTTAAACGCCAAACTGTTTATGACTATTTGCTTGACTAATACCAAATACTACTATTAAAACATTACGCATTTGATTTAATACTGAAAATAAGACTTTTGAACCCATTTTCTACAACAATACAGTGGTGCTTTTTTTATGCTACTGCAATGATTTTTACCATAGTTCGGAAATAGATCCTGTTCAAGATGGAGGACCTAACTTGAAACCACAACAAAAATTCAAGTTACAAGTTCCAGGCTCTCAAAACAGTCACACAATTAAATCAGCTTTCATTCAGCGATAAAGAGAGTACCAGCCCAGTATGTAAAAGATAACATGTTTTCTAAAGAGGATGAAGACAGCATGTTGTCGTCCGATTTATTCACAAAAGGGCACAGGGCTTAAACCCGATTCTCTCTGATTGGGTAAATAAAACGTATACATGAAAAAAAACAAATGTCGTGCTCCAGCTTTAGTGGGATTTTTTCCGCATTCATACTTTAACAGCTGAGTACCGAGTTTCTCTGGCTCCTATTGGGTAAGCGTTTGTGTCACACGCAAATTTGTTGGGCTTCAAAGATTTCTGGTTTAGCGACCTCTATAATCTCTACTGTTTATATTTTATTGAATAATGTGTTTGTAAATCCAGATTGACCTAATTGACCGATCAGATGCGTCTGTTTGCAGGGGAAACAACAACCATGTTAGCAACACGTCGGCTCCAGTTACAAATTGAAGCTAACGCTGTCGGAACAAATGCCCATACAGTATAAGGAAATTGGCTCTGATTGGTTTACCCTGAATTCTGCAAACAGTACGGGTGATGTCGGTCCCTAAGTCAGACAATGGTTTGAATAATTGCGCATGGCGCCGTAAAGATGGCGCCGTGGCAAGAGCTCTGGTGTGTGTGGTGCACACCGGGGTAGTCTTGCACAGTTTTTCCAATGTGGTTTTACTGCAAATGGCAAATAAATGAATCTGAATCTAATTGTTTAGTATTTATTAATTATCTAATTTTTGATTCTTTTGACAGTTATAAATGCATCACGTATTCTATATTCAGAGCACATCAAAAATAGCATCAAATAAAAGGTTGCAAAAACACTGTCCCATCTGTAAAACCCATGTTTAAAAAGTCATTGATACATGATATATAGAGTGTTTTGATGGGATGTGTGGCATGTGTACACAGGTCTATATAGGTGAGAGTTTGATAGATAGGCTGGGTTGTGTAGGAGACAGGAGAAGGATCACATGTGTCTGGGAGCTGAGGAGTCATCCATCACACATACCAGGGTACAGTCTGCACAAGCTGGAGGAACTAATGACACACGTTTACACCAGCGAGGACACGTAACAGGACACAGGAACATGTATGCAATAGGGTCGTTTGTGTGACTTCACAACATTCCAAAGATCCTTTAGGTTAGCATTGTGGTTTAGGGCAGCTTGTTATAACCAGTTTAATCGTCTGTTTGTAGAAAAGACACAATGAGTCATAAGATTCTTTACATGCAGTTTATGGACACAGATAACAGCAGCTGAAAAATATTTCCTGGTATCTGTGGTCTGACAAAAATCAGACTTCTTGCTCTTTAGAGCCATTTTTTCTGTACGTTCCACATCTTCTTTGTCAGTACATATGGCATAATTGATTTTTCATATAGGGTGTCTATAAGTGGTGACAATATTCAACAACATCGGCCAGTGCCAAGGACTTTCAGAAATAAGAATAATGTTTGCTTATTGATCTGGGAAAACATTTGAGATTTTTCTTTTGCAACATTTTCAAATAAAATAGTTCTTCTCTGATGTGTGGTTGAGGTAAGGGCTGACACTAATCAACCGTTTGCAGTAGCTGTGACATGTAGCCTGTGGTATTATATTTTTGTCATTGTGTGTTGCTGCCTAGAGACCATATTTCGTGCCAATGAATTGGATCATATGTGGATGTGATCCGCATATGATCCAATCTAATGTGATTTGAAGGTACATTTAATTCTTACTTAAATCTCATGTGTGTCTTAAAAGAGTAGATTTTAGATGTAGATAAGAGGCTCCAGCCACTGCCCTGCTTGTCTTGTGACATTTAAAAGGATTATATATAGGATCATGGACTGAATATGAATGATTGAAAATAAACTGCTACTGAATACTAGCCATGGAAATAAAGCAAACTAATGTGAAACTGGAAATGTGTCTATCCTTTCCAAATCTGTGTCCCTTGTTAAAACATGTTATGTGTCTAGTTTACTGGAGTGACGTTGTTGGAAAACTTTACAATATTAGAGAACCCTTGGTAAACCACACTATTATTATTAACAATACATGCGATATACCGTATCAGCTATGGGTCGAGTTCAGATTTTCAGTCCCAGATCCCAAACCAGGCCATAACCAAAGTGACAGTGGGGCAGATGTAAGAATGCCCATATATGGATGTTCCACGGCGCTTCATATGACTAAAGAAAGTAGTGAAAGAAATATCTTCTTCAATTTACTTACCCGAAGAAGACATATAATGCATTATTTTTACTTACATTTATATTTCATTTTTTAGAATGTGAAGTAATATGGATCTAAAATCAAGTCTTTTTTTGATGAAAACCAATACTGTAATGTGTTTAAAAGTTTTAAAAAAGCTCCTTCAATACCTTTCATTGTTCGATCCTTTGAGCTTCAACATTTGTTATTGTAACCAGCCGACGGTCCACAGTGAAAAACAAGCTACAGCATCAAATACAAAACAACAAAACCGTTGCACTCACCAACATCATCCTCATCGAAGGAGTTCATGCAGGGGAAGTAGATTGCCAAAGCTTCAAAACTCGCAGAGAGGCTGAGCTTGCTCTGAGACCTCTCCATGAGCAAGTCCGTGGTCGGGGTCGGCGTTTCCACCGGCGGCTTGGTGGCCCAGCGCTGGCCATTTTTCACTCGGAGTACGGCACGCGGCGTTTTGGACTACAGTCCGCTGCCCCCCAAACAGGGACAGTTCTCACAGGAGCGGAGAAACACAAGCGATAAGGTGGCACCCAAATTAAACGGGTGCGAAGAGATGTTGTTGAGAAATCTAGGGTCGGAAAAAATTGCAAAGGTTGTCCACGAAGAAAAATGTACCCAAATTTGATCTTTATTTATTGTTTTAAAAATGTAATGTTGTGGCAAAATGTCTTAAAATCACGGAAAGTGAAGTCCGAGGGACACGAGAAATATATCTAGACTGGACGCTCAGTTAATGTTATCATTAAACAGCCCTAGTTCGGGAAACTAAGAGCTTGATCATAGAAATGGATGGAAACCCAGCATTTGTAGATCTTTGCAAAACAGATAATGAACGATGACTAGACATTTACTTTCTCAACAATCCAAAGTTTCCAGTCAAACAAAAAATAGTTGAATCTTCCCCTTTCTAGATATGCCTTCCACGTTATTTAGCAAAATTCCCTTAATCAGTCTTCAACAAATCTCATTCTGTCCACACATATCTTTCATCTGTGGCAGTTGTCGGAGCTCCATGCTAACATCCCAATTCCAATCTTCCAAATTGCTTGTGCACTCCAATGTCCTTCCGTGTTTGAGCAATTCCCTCTTTCAGTTTTTGCTCGTCTTTGAGATGGCTTGTTTTGAAGGTGACACTTAGTAAAACAAAAACAAAAATCGCATCCAACTCAAATCACATCCTTTGTACAACAGCAAAATTCTCTCGCTAGATCCCACGCCTGAGAAATCTGGTGTAATCTCTCCTGAAACGAGCAATCTGTTGATTCAAGCGGCGACGTAGCACATGTACTCAACACCACCCCTGTCTCCTTGCGACGCAGTGCCAAGGTTGTCTTGCAAAGGGGGGAAAAAACTCACGACAATCACATTCAAAGCAGCTTGAGAACAATTTACTTCAATGCTTGCATCCCATGGCGGCGCATTCAATTGTTGGGACGGTGGTGAGAGAGAGAGGGGATGGAGAGCATTTAAGGCAGCATGGAAAAGGGGAGGGGTGGCTGGAGTCTGGGAGGATTGGCCTATCGGAGGTGGAGGAGAGAGAGAAAAGGGAAGAGGCGGGGTTGCTCTGCTTTGTCAAACACTGGGTTCACAGCAGGATTAACGCTGACGGGCATTGAGAGCCAGGTCTCTGTGGGAATGAATGGGCAGTTTGGCAATGGGAGAATACATTGATTTTGCATTCTCCCACCAACATTGTATTGCTATGGGGTACCATGGTTTACATCAGAAAATTATTACACAAGTGGAAGTTCAATAGTATTAGTCAATGTAAATATGACATAAAAGGTATTGGTACATAACTTCTGCAATTTAGTAACACTGTACTGTTGACGGATAAAGTGGATAAATTCCACTTTACACTTCTCCAGCTCATTCGAGGAGATCCTGAAGCGTTCCCAAGCGAGCTGAGAGCCATAGTCGCTCCAACGTGCTGCTGGTCTCCTTCCGGTGAGACATACCCAGGACACAGGTGTCTAGGAGGCGTCCCAAACGTTCGAGCCACCTCTACTGACTCCTCTCGCAATAAAGAAGCAGCATCTCTACTCCGAGCTCCTCCCGTGTGACTGAGCTCCTCACCCGTCACTAAGGAAGCCCCCAGCCAATTTGCGGAGGAAGCTCATTTCAACCGCTTGTATTCGATCTCACACTTTCGTCAACACCCAAAGCTCACGACCATATTGTTATAGAGCAGGGGTCGGCAACCCGCGGCTCCGGAGCCGCATGCGGCTCTTGAGTGCTCCTGGAGTGGCTCCTGGAGCCTTTTCAAAAATGTCTGAAAATGGAGTGTGAGGGCTATATTTTATTTCAAGTTTGAATGTGGTTTCTGTAGGAGGAAAAACAATCTTTACGTTTTTAAATGCTGTAAAAATATGTATAAGTAATATCTAATTTCAACATTTCTGTCAACGTAGTGCGTCATATCCTATGACGCGCGGTCACGCGGCCCCGCCCCATGCGGCCGCTGCTGTAAACAAACCGGCGTGTGTGCATGATAGACTGTAAGTGCACATGGATCCCAAAGCTAAAACGAGAAAGAGTCGATAACAAGACTGGACTAAGAATGAGAATGAACATTTTATTTCAGTCAATGAGGAAGGACTGCTTCATGTTTGTAATGAAAAGTTTTGTTGCAACACGAGGAACAATGACGCGCAAAACGACGTAAACAGTGATTACGTGAAGGATTCATTCATCAAAAATTCAGAGCACCTATTTTCAGACTTCAAAACCTTCTCAAAGATGGTGAAAGAAACGGCCATTAAGGATTTTAATTCAGCTCCAGCAAACTTCAGCCTGTGACGTGATGGATATGAACAGACAGTGATGCAGGTATGTGACCTCTGAGCCCAAAGCAGATTGATTTACTGTATTTCTATAATTGCATGAAGGCAAAAAAAATGGAAGTTAAACTAAAGCAGAGTTGTCACATGTTGCGTCATTCACGACACGCGTGGTGCGACACGCTGCAGTGAAAATACACATTTGATAATCATGAATGATTATTATGTATTTGTAGCCTTTACTTTGTCATTTAGATATTAGGCTAATATAGCTAATACATCTTGCGTCCTGTGTTACCTTCATAAAAGCCTTATACAAGGCTGTTATTTTTTTGCGGCTCCAGACAGATGTTGTTTTTAGTTTTTTTGTCAATTATGGCTCTTTGAACATTTTGGGTTCCCGACCCCTGTTATAGAGGGAACGTAGATTGACCAGAAAATCTAGAGCTTTGCCTTTCGACTCAGCTCCCTCTTCACCACAACGGTGCGATACAACAACCGGATCACTGCACACGCTTCCCCTACCTGCCTGTCAATCTCACGCTCCATCCTTCCCTCACTTGTGAACAAGACCCCGAGATACTTGGTCCAGCACCATGGCCTCAAGGTGTTGGTCTTCATCCCACACTGTAAAATATACACAATGAAGAGTATTGATACACTGACAAACATCCAAATAAGGTTTTGAAATCATTTTAAAGTACAGTAAAGCCATTGCTTTTCTCCCATCACTTTGACTGCTGCGGCTTATAGTGAGGTGCAGCTAAATTTTTATTCATTTTTTTCTGCGGCACCAAAAACATCATGCCAAGTAACTGTAGACCAACAGAATTAATGAGTAGTTCATAGAGGTCATATTAAATTGTATGACATGTCAGTCATTCGTACTCCTCCTCGTCAACATGGAAAATACAATTTTTAGGTCACAGTGAGAAAAAACCCCAAATGTAATATGTATTTGTTTGTTACCAAGTGGATTAAATACAGTTTAAACGTCCTCTCTTATAATATCTATGTGTAAATATATCATGTAGTAAACGATACAAACTCTGTTTATTATGTATGACCACTTGTTTTTGTACCTGCTTTGTGGTGAAATCTCTTGTTACTGAATTATGTTATATATTTATATTAAAGAGCGCAAAGACTAGCAATCCAAATGAGACCCTCATTCTGCTCTCTGATTGGATAATCTGCTTGAAAACAGGAAACATAAACACAGCGGGGCAATAAAGTATTTAGTCAGCCACCAATTGTGCAAATTCTCCAACTTAAAAATATGAGGGAGGCCTGTAATTTTCATCATTGAATATGACCTGATGAGACAAGAAAATCCAGAAGATCTCAATACTTGGTTATGAACCCTTTGTGGGAAATGGCAGAGCTCAAACGGTTTCTGTAAGTTTTCACAAGTTTTTCACACACTGTTGCAGGTATTTTGACCTATTCCTCTACGCAGATCTCCTCGAGAGCAGTGATGTTTTGGGGCTGTCGCTGGGCAACAAGGACATTCAACTCGCTCTAAAGGTTTTTTACTTTTTTGCCCCACTAAACTATGGACATTTTTTTATATTTCTAATTAAGAATGACTCCATTCAACTTGTCTTCAGAAAAGACAATATATTTGTATATTTTAACATCTGGCTATTTAATATCAACATACAACTTGATAATGCCTTCGTTTTGTATTGAGATTGGGTCACTCAAAAAACTATTTTACTGATTAATTAATTACTTTTGCCCTGGGACAGACAGACTGAAGAGGGCCAATCTGCACCAATCTCTCACACTATCACTTCATACTCGGCAATGTGTGTTGCCTAAGACACAGTACAGTTCTCACTTCATAATGGATGTATTGTGTTTGCGTTGTAGCACTGACCACAGCAGAAACAAATGGGTTCCAAAAACATGTATTCATAAATCATTATTTTGGAAATGTCACAAGCGTCAGAAAACTTTGCCCTCGTTACTCTAAAACTTTGAGGCTTTGTGTTGTTTTGGGGACAGCTTGATAAACACATACGTCTGGTCTGATGCAGAGATGGAAGACGTATGAACATGGAGACTGAGTGAATATTGCTCTCTGAATAAAAAATCCGAACGACGTAATAGACTTGGCTTGAACATGTGGGCCTGGAACCAAAATCTATACTGTTCATTTTACCCCTGTGCTAAGAAGCTCTGCATGTGTCAAATATCAAAGTTAATGTTGCTGAGTTTCTTTCTGACTTTCAAATGGTCACATATATTTGATCATTTGAAAGGCGTTTCTGTCTTCAGGGCACACACAGCATAATGGAATAATACACACACACACACACACCTAAAAAATGTCCTTGCATTTTGAATCAGTGAAGGTTTGTTGAGTTCCCAGCCTTCTATGGCAAATGACTTGTGCCATAATAGCAAAACTGGGCTTTTTCAATCAATTCATGTTTCCCCATTTTAGCACAATTCATGCAGTGCAATCCAGAGTGCTTTACAAAGACAAAGCATCATACAAATGTACAAACATCATATAACATATGAGGTAAAGCAATATTCAAATTAAAACAAAAGTCTGTCCAAATTAAAACTGAA